TTATACATTTGGAAAGATGTTATAAACAGTAGGTATATATTGTCCATGTAAGTCATTCCCATATTAAACTGGAGTTTATATGTGTGTTTTCCTGAGTTATAATTGTTGGTATACCTTTGTGGTAGTCTTATGGACTGCTTTTCATAATCCTCAGTATGGTTTTGTGGGAAGCATGTATTTTTCCTTTGTTTAATTACTGGAAGAAAATACGACCTTTTTTTAGTTTTTCCAAATATGGCCGAAACTTGAATTCGTTGTTGTAAAATTCACGACCTAGTGCCATTACCATTCAATATTAATCTATTGTTGCAGCTGCTAATCGGCCATCACAAAAAAATTTCCTTCTCCGCCAATTACTTTCCACTATTTTTTGTTCTTTCATTTTTCATTCTCTTTATTGTTAGAATTCTCGAGTTCCTTCCCATGGAGAGAGGGTTGATTGCGAGAAGAATTGAAGTGTAGAAAGAAGAATAAAAAAATTCAAATCTGTCATTTCTAGAGATTTTTTATTTTTATTTTTTCCTTTAGAGGTTGCACATAATAGACGAAATTCATATATTTTCTTTATATCTATTCCTAATCTCAGATATACTTTATTAATTCTATTTTTTATCATCACTATCTTCGAACCATGCATTTTTTTTATTTTTTTTTTCAAGTTATTGGCTTTTTTTTTTCTTATCAATTTTGATATTTGACAAAAATAATTTATTGCAATTTTGCAAATATGTGTTTATTTTTGTCTCATTATCTCTTTCTCAAATCAAATTTTACTATTTGATACTATTTGCGCTCATTTATTAAATATGATATCCTAATAATATTTTAAGAGTTAATAATTTTTTTTATTTACCTTTCATATATGATTTATCAAATTAGTTATAATTTGACGATCTTCGATTTGACATTCATATCACATATACAAATTTAAAATTAAGTTTATCTATCTTTATAAAAAAAATTATTTATCAAACAAATTAAAAAATACAAGCGAAATTGTATATTTTTGTATAACACAAAAAATGTTTATATTATTTTACCTTTTTTTTTGCAATAGTAAAAAAATGCAAAAAAAGTATAAAATATGATGAATAATGAACAAAATTCTAAAACTCATATCTCCACTTGACTAAAGTATAGATTATTTTTGTCAAATATCAAAATTGATAAGTCAAAAAACTTATAGGACAGAACTCAAAAAGAATGTTTTCTCTGCGATAGGGGATCCCATGAGTTAGTCAGAGAATGACGGAACTCTTGTAGCAAAGAAAACATTCTTTTAGGTTTGAATAAAGTCAAAAACTTATAGGACAGAACTCAAAAACCCAGTTCGCTTATTATGATGAATTATATTTGTTCGATAGACTGTTGTCAATATAAATGTNAATGACTGAAAAGTCAATTTTTTCCTTAGAAATGTTTGACGATGATCGGAAATTGTTTAAGTGTAATTTTTTGCAAAATTATATTGACAAAGTGTTACGGAAAAAAGTTCGAATGTGTAAAGCGTAAAAGACTAGGTTAAGTGCAGTTTTTCCCTAAATTTTAACTTATTTTAGGAACTTAGCTAGAAAGGAAAGGAAGGTAACAAGTAGCCATAATAAGGATAAGAAAAAAGTAGAATTGAGTGAGACGCAAGTGCGCGTTGAAGGAAATACAGCTGCAGTTGACCAATAACGCGGGAGCTGCGGGTATTCGGGTCTCGGATCCGTGCACCCAAAGAATCCACCAAAATCCGACCCGGAGACCCTTTCTAAAATTAACACATTATCAAATTCTTATATAATACGTCGGCGTTTTTGTCTCTCTCTCTCTCTTTCTCCGCGCATGCTGCCTCGCCTAAAGTCCCAAACCCCCAGCTCACGCGCAGTTTTGTATTTATTTTTCATTTTTCTATTTCAATTATCAATTTTCTTTTGTGGGTACGTGTCTTTGTTCGGCGTTGTTCGATTGAACTGAAAATGGGCGACCTTGTTTACGATGGTATGTGAATTGCGCTCTTTTATGATTCTGAACAAGAAATTACCGTACGATGAATGTTTCGCATATTTTTATTAGTTTCTACATTTTGTCTTTCTAGATTTTACTGCAGATTGCGATGATGAAGACGAGGAAATGGACGACGAGGAGTACGAGGTTCATAATCTAGCAAAGTCGGAGCTGGCATGCCCCTTTTGCTCCGAGGATTTCGATGTTCTCGGTTTGTGCTGCCACATTGATGCCGATCATCGTATCGAAGTTAAACCTGGGGTAAAAATCTAATCTTTATCAAGGGTTTTATTTAATTTGTAGTTTTGAGGGCTTTTGAGATGTTGTGTAGCTGTGAATTCCTAAGAAATGAACAAATTTAAAAGTGTCTTTGTTTGTGATTGTTTGCGAGGTGCTTCGAAATTTATAAATGAGGGACCTTCGGTTAAATTGTCTTAACAATTGGGTTGCCTTTATGGAGATTGATTTGGTTTCTATAACTCTTAAGTGTGTTCCAATCTAAGAAAGTAATCGATAGCAGCAGAATAAAAGAAGAGATGTCGTATTTTGGCATGCCAACTTAAGAGATTAGTGTTGGGAAAAAAAATCCCAACTTTATAGAAACGCACAATAACAATTAATGTTTTCATACAAATTTATTTGGCATGCCAACAATTGAGAAATTGTTCTTTGCCGCCAAAAAAGAGTAGTACTAAACGAGAGCTTTTTCTGTCGTTGCAGATTTGCCCCATTTGCTCGGCAAAAGTGCGCATAAACATGGCTTCTCATGTAATCACGCAGCACGAGTCTGTTCTAAAAATATCCTTCAAATATATATATGCAAAAATGATTCATCGTACTATTGCCCGTCTTTTGTTGTTATTTTTTGTTGGAGTGATTGAATTTATGTCTAACTTAACTCAAGCTCACTCTCTCTGCAACAAGAAGAATAGTAGTGCTCGTTCTCGTTCGGCACTATTGGCTTTGAGAAAAGATTTACAGACGAAACACTTATGTAACGTCAACAAAAAGTCTCATTCTGTTGATTCTTCTTCCTCGAATTTGCCATCTGACTCCAAGCTTCTTTCGTTCATCAATAGCCCGAGTTATGCTCACAAACTTCAAACCAATCAAGAGGATGTTTTGAATCAAGCAAGCTTACCTGTCGAAATTAGCAATTGCGATTTGTTGGACAGGTACGCACAATATATTTTCAAATGTAAAAAATTCACAAATATTTTCACGCTTGTAAATCTACGCTATATGTGGGGTGTGACTTTGATTTGTGCACTATAAATGTTTCGAGTCGAGCTCGTGAATTTCACTTGTTCTTGTGGGGAAATTGCTAGCTTATGAACGACATATGTTTTCTTAGTTGTTTGTTCTTATGATGTCTGCAGAGTACAGTCAACTCCATCGACGGACTCGAATGATGAGAGGACAATGAGGTGCGAATTTGTACGGGAATTAGTAATCTCCACCATTTTTGATGACTTATGATTTGAGATTGAACTGGATTTGCTAATATTGCTGGTGGAATTTAAAACCGAAAATGTGTGCATCTATATGTATAGGAACACTCATCTCTGTATTTAATCTTAATTTTTATGTGTTGTGCAATTGTTGGATGGTAAATGCAGTTTGATTCTGAGTTTGTGAACAAGAGGAGGTTGAGCTTTGATACACCTATTCGTTTTCGAGTCTTTAAGATGAGTTTTTATTCGAACTATATCCGAAATTTCTAATATACACGAGGCACTGAATGACTATAGAATGATTTTTATTCGGTCCACAGTGCACGAGGTATTACCGAAATATGTACGCAATGTTCGACTTTTTAAGAGTGTAGCTCGACACAAAAAATTAAACAAATTTAAAAAAAAAAATATTTTGAGACAAACTTGCTTGATACAAATATGTAACGTTGGAGTAAATTTTAATTTTAAATAATATGTAATGTTTGAAATATTGAAATCAGACTCTGCTAACCTTTAGGTTCGTTGTAGCAGGGTAATAATTAACACCATTTATTAAGCACAGTCCAATATTGAGATATACAAAAATGGAAGATTTTTTTTTTTTAAACTATATTTCTCATAAAATTAGGGACAACTAATTTTGATTGAAAGGTAGCTTTCCATTTGTTACTAGTTTATTTTCAGATAATTGCATTATATGTTTATGTATTTGATCTAATTAATTCATCAATATGTTGATTTAACAGAAGTGATATGCTTGTTACTAACTTACAATAGACCACCAAGATTTAGGTTGAATCTTGTGAATTTGAATCAAGAACCACAGGTATTTCTTTATAGCATTTCGAAGCTCAAATCTAAATAATTTGAATCTCCTAATTATAAATGATAAAATGATTTATTGCGCAATAAATATTTCCCTTAAACTAAAGAATTATGTATTTATTCAATGTCATATGTGAGAAGGCATAAATCAACTCAGCTAACTGTATTTATAGTTGAACTATGTGAGGTGTCGGGGACCTGAATCTAAGTTGAACTGACTTAAGAAAACTTACGATTGTCCCTGGGGACCTGAATCTAAGTTGAACTGGCTTAAGAAAACTTACGATTGTCTCTGGAGCTACTGATGATCTGCAAAATAAGTACTGGGATGGTTTTCGACGTAAGCACTCCGACGCTTAAATTAGTACAGAGGAAGATGATAATAAGCTTTGTATCTAAAGGATTGCATGCAATGTATATAAAATGTACAGTGTATTTCAGATGTACCTCAGTCTCCATTTATAGGAGAGTATCTTGGTGCCCAAGATTTAGCTGCCCGACTGCCTCGGTCAGCCTGCTTGTAACCGCCTAGCTGCCTGAGGTTGAATCCTTATTTGAATCTCATCTTCATCAAAATTAGATCTCTTCTTATCCTGATTAGATTCCCTTTTATCATCATTAGGTCTCCTTCGACTTGTGTTTTCAAGTGCCCACAGGTCACCAAGTCACTAGGTCGGATTACTTAAAGTCATCATAATGAGTTACAACTTCGGACTACGCTTCGGCCACGATGTAGTCTTTAAATTATGACATCATTATACAATAATTTCAAATTCGGACTACGCTTCGGCCACGATGTAGTCTTTGGCATCTTCTGCAATGTGTTACAACTTACAAATTTTTGGTCAAAAGCTTGGCGGGACCCACTTGCGGCGAATCGTCGGTCAGATTTTTGAGTCTCCTCCACATGCAATTATCCATTCAATTGGACTAAGTATAGTTGGGCAATAAATAATTCATCTCCTCAACAAAATCTTTTTGATATTATTACACGAGATAAAATTGTGTTTTCTTTTCAAGCACATGCAATTGCCTTTGACAATGGGAATTTAATTTTATTTAGATGCAACACTCCTTTGATTTGACTTACCTCACACAAATGTTGGTAATGCTTATTATTAAAATGGGTAAATTGGGAAAATTTCATCCTAACCTTAGTAGTGTCCAAAGGATTACAGGGGTGATTAAATATATATTTTAGTTTTGATTGAAGTCGTTGATTAATCAGAGTTAATTTTTTTTTTAAAAAAAAAATTGAGTGAGATTTTGAGTTTGTATTAAAAATATTTAAAATGTAATGATGAAGTTGTATTGATGTAAGAGTGGATAAATATGATGTGATGAGTAGTAAAATCATGCGAGAATAGTGAATTATAAGTTAATATGGTGTGTAAGAATAATTGTTTGGTATTATTTGATTTTATTGATAATATTGAGAAGTGTTTGATTGAATTGAGTTAATTTAAGTTGAATTTTGAGTTATAAAAATTATTTTATAAAAAGTGACTATATAATCTATATCTAATCAGGTCTTAGTCATTAACACATTCAGGAGTGTGAATGAGCACGGACGTACAAGATACGATGAATTTGCAGCAATCTTGTTAAATAGTTCTAATTATAGACAAACACACAGTTCATATAAATTATGTATATATTATTAAAAATAATATGAAAATATATAATTTTTTATTGTATAAATATTTATGTATTATTTAAAAATACGACAAATAGACTTACCAAATGATTGAATTGCATCACACGCTCAACATTAAATAAATAAATAAAACTCTAAAATTTACTTCGTTATTTTGTCCATTTCGGCCTTTTCCAAAGAGAATAAATAATATTTTATCGCTTTTTCTAATTCCCATCCCCAATAATTTCCCCGTTTCACTCCATACGCTCAAAAGCGGGTGCGTGGGGATTCTGCTCAGATCCCTCTCATCTCAGCCGCCATTTGATTCTGATTCTCAATCCTATCTTTGTCGAATTTTTGTATAAAGACCTTCATTTTCACCTACCATTTGTTCATCGACTTCTTATCCTAAGTAATTGGAATTGTTGTCGAGGAAGTTATTTTCTTGAGCTGGATTTTCTGCCCGAGGTTGCCTGAATCGGATCGATGTCTGCTCGAGAAGCACGCGGCGCGGCGCCTGGCTATGCGACGGTTGCTTTCATCGGCGATCGGCCTCTCGATTGAGGAATCCTTTTCTACCACTGCAGCAGCTGTTAAAAGCCAAGGCTCGGGAATATTTGTTGATTTTTCAGGTGTTGATTTTAGTGGATTTGTCGATGGCTTCTAGTACTCATAACCCTAGCTCTAAAGGCCTCCTCTGCAATGCTGGTGCCGGTGCTGCCGCCGGTTAATCTCTCTCTCTCTCTCCCCATTAACTAGATTAAATGATTGGTTATTTTCATCCATGCTAAACGAAGTTGTTAACATTACTGTTGTGTTATTCTATTGTTTTAATTGGTTATAGTGTTCGATTGGTTTGTGATTGTGAGTGTTTGGGAGTAACATTACGTGCTGGGCTTGGATTTCTGATGAGGTTTGGTTTTGAAATTGGGACAGGTGCGATTGCAGCTACTTTTGTTTGCCCTTTAGATGTTATCAAGACTAGGTTCCAGGTTCATGGGCTTCAACTTTCTAGTGCTAACAATAGTATTAGAGGTCGGTGATCTCGTTTCTTTCACCGGGACTGGACATTTTCTTCTTTTTCCTTCTTCCTTGTCAAGATCTCATTTTTTAATATGATATCAGTATGGTGAATGGTTGTTTGTTTACAATTGACCAGGTAGTGTTATATTGGGAAGTTTAGAGCGTATTTTTCAAAAAGAGGGGTTGCGTGGTATGTACCGTGGGCTCTCCCCGACGGTTCTTGCTTTGCTTCCAAATTGGGCAGTAAGTTGTTCTATCATGTATAGTTGTTTTTATTTTTGGTCGAGTTATCTTGTGGGCGAGTTCAGTGGAAAATAATTACTTAACAGTTATTTTTTCGCAGGTTTATTTTACAATTTATGAACAACTAAAGAGTTTTCTTGGTGCTGATGGTTAGTTCTTTATTTGCTTATCCTTTATAAAAATTACCCACATATGAG